AACAAAATCTAACATTTAAAATCTTTTAGTTTCTACTGAAAGTTTTCATAGAATATTTTTAGAAAAATTCCCATGCAAAAATCTAACTTCCTATTAAAGGTTTATTCCCTTTTTTAACAGAGCATCTATGTTTTATCTTAAAGTTACATAAAACCCTACTCCATGTACCAAAAAAATAAATATATGATATGATGTAACTCATTCTACTACTACGAATCTGGACAACTCTCTGTCCAGATACTACTAGAATAAGTAGTACTAAAATATGTCACATTTTGCTTTAGGTGTGTTTTTTGTGCGACAAAGGAAGAAGGTATTATAACCGGTGATACATAACCTCGGATATTATGGTTTTAAAGTTTCATAAAACCCCACATCTATGTATGTTGAGCAGGAATTTACTTAAGATTCTAAATCTTAGAGTGTATATGAAATTTTTAATTATTAAGTTCTTGATAAGGTTGATAGTTTAACTCTTCACTACTTTGAAAAAAAAATGTTTCAAACATGTTGCAATTAATCAATATTTGAATACGTGTGGTTTTATAAAATAGTTAGACCATAAAACCTATGGTTAAATACCATAAGCCATAATAACTATAGTTTTCTGTAACTTTAATCATAAAACTAGAAAAAAGACCTGGCCGTGTGTTGCAATGGGAAAATAAACATTACAATATTAAGCGATGCTTGCTTTACTGGCTTCGCCTCCTACCAGCTGCTTTACCCAAAGGCTACCTTTCGGTGCAAGGTACGCCATGATGTAATCCATATGACAACTTTCTGCTCTTCTCTCACCCGCACACTTAAATAAGAATTGGCATTGATGACCACCATAATACCAGTTTAATAAAAAACTAATAGTAATATCATAAGTGTCGATTTAATTCTGAAAGCTAGTTTGATTAGCTTAATTTCGTGAAGGGGATGGACACACATATATACATGTCTACGTGTACATGCAAGTGTTCCTAGCAATATATCTGTGTAGTCCCAGGCTTGATTAATTCAATATTATTTTATTTTGGTGGTGATAATGCTGGTTTAGTTAGCTACAGAGTGACACATTCATAGCACTCGCAGACTCAGTCTTATTTCTTTCTCAACTCCCATATCTCTTTCTTCCCTGTCCCATAGCCACACATAGCCTTCTCTCGATCTCTCCCGTGTAGGATCTAACAACAAGAATTAAGCCAACCAGAAGGGGTGAATGGTTGTAGAACCCAAAAACCATAACTTTTATCGGAATTAAAAGTTACTCTCGAATTTGATATAGATCGATCTGACCGGAGTATATGCGTCGGTTTGACCGCTCGAAGACCTTCGATCTGACCGGTATAATTGCTCCGGCCTAACCACCCGATGCGTCGAAGTCGCTAGTCGTCGCCGCCGGTCTGACCGCCGTAGTGTTGTAGGTCTGACTGCGCCGATGTCGTCGTTCTGACCGCCAGTGTCCCATCGGTTGGACCACCACTCCCATGCAAGATCTCTCAAAGTAGATTGAAACTTCATTACTTCTATTCGTGTTTATAAAGTACAACAACAACATTCCTGACAAAAATCTCGACTAAACTCGAAACCCTAACTTTTCTCACAACTCAACTATCTAAAAATCGATATCAGAAGGCGTCACCCTCCCTCTCTATTTATACCCAAGGTAAGCACAAAAGGCACAAACCAACCTTATACAAGAAGTTCTAATCCCCTAGAAAAACATTCCCAAATAAGAAACAAACTTAACAAATTCCAATTGTACCAAATTTGGACTCCCTCCAAATTTAAACTCCTCATCCCATATGCACACAATATCTCTGTCGTTTGCCATATGAAATATTCATCAATCACGTGCATTGATCTCTAGCCTAAGTATCCCACAAGATATCCCGATCGTCCGGACGTCATCATATCCCAAGTTGACTCCCGATCCATCTCCAGCAATGCTCTTCCAAGGCATCAAGACTCACCTACACATGAATCAAACACAAAACCATATCCGAGCACAAGTTCTCTGCAATTTAGTCACAAAACATGAATGTTTAGAGCTCCATCATAATAATGGTACTAGGGATTTGAACTCTAAAAGCTATAGTTTTGTGATAACTTTGATATTAAAGTTGTAGTTCTATGATAACTTCAATATTAAATATGCAGTTTTATGATACTTAACTTTAAATCTATAGTTTTGTGATAAATATGGTGCTAAATTTGTAGTTTTATGATACAACACCTTAAATCAAAATACATGTAGTTTTGTGAAATTTACTCAACTATATGTAATACACATTCTTTATCAGTTTTACTCTCTAACTAGGAAGGTGGCCCGCGCGTATGCGCGGGCACATATATTATTGAAAGGTTAGATTTTTATTGTTTGTTAAAAAAATTATCACATAGATTAAGGGCAAACTAAAGTTCGGATACTGTTATTTTGTAATAATTTAAGGGTTCTATTTTTTTTGTTAAGGTATCTTAAAAGTCCATTCGCAAGCTTTTGAGTGGGAGATGGATTAAGTACTTACGACTTTTGAATCATATTTTTTTCTTAAGTAAATAGATTAAATCGTCTCGTGAAGGTGCATGATATAGTAAGAAAGGGAGGGAAGCATATTCATGGAGAAAAAGAAGAAAGGGAAAAATAAAAAAAAAGGGTGGGGAAGCGTAGGTACCCACGTACATAGGTGCGTACCAAAGGTGGAGAGGTGGGACCTCGTAGTATTTAGTTTGTTCTAAGATCAATTTAATCTAATGGTTTATAATATTGGACCCATCGATTCAAGTGAAAATCAAGTAGTAGATACTTTGCTTTTTTTCTTAGAATTTCTAATATTTTCTCTAATTTATTAGAGCACCACGTGACATCTTGAGGGCATTTTAAGAAATTTTAGTGGACTTACCACATGTAATTAGAATATTAAGATGTAATATATATATGTATGGGATGTATGTTCATATTCGTTTTAGCTTCGTCCATGTTTATATACATGTAGAGAAAAATTAAATATGTTGCTAGCAAGCCATTAGTTGTTTAATTAATAGCAATTAATTTTGACACCTATTTACAATTGGTCATAGTTGTTCTAACAGATTTATCTTACGACTTTGATTATGCGTTGATCACCAATTTACTTATCACCATCACTCGCATGAAAAAAATATGTACTTTAGGGGATAGGACAACTGAAATTGATGAATTATCTGATTTATGTGATAGCTATTTGAGATTATAAACGAATGAATTGACTTCTGAAAAGTTAAAAAGTTGTTTAAGAAAAGCACCATTTAGTAACTTGGAAAGCGTGGAGCGTGCAAACGAAAATTCAAAAGATGGAATCAGGGAAAAAATAGGGCCTTAAACTCCCTTGTAACACTCTTATCCTAGTAAGAGTTCTGTTGATATTCGTTAATATTGTGCTCACAATTATAACATAATGATTTCTTTCAACTGTACGAACAAATAATACAAAATGCAAATACAACATAACACAATACATTATAATTATTATTTAATCAACTCTCGATTTCAGCTTAAACAGAGTTAAGTGTTCCACGGTACTTAATTCTTCTCTCGCTACATCACATCTTTAATTTTATTTTCATGCTATTAACAACAACGGTAGCGCTGCAGCGGTCGTGATCACCCAAGATGCCTCAAACACGACACTCTGTCACATGTGCGAAAGGCAAAGGTGCAGATGTGCATTGTGGAGTGGGCCAAAAAGAGAACTTTAGACATTATTAACAATAGATCCGATGATTTAAATAATGGGTCCACCGGTTTTAGTGTAAATGTAACTTAGTTAATATATATGTATATATATATATATATATATTAAATTGTTAATTTAATGGGTACACAACATTATGGTGATGGTGTAGATTTTATTTTAAAACACTGAATTATTTGAGAATAATAATCCAAAGTAATAAAAAATAGATCCGATGATTTAAATAATGGGTCTATCTGTTTAAGTACATGTATATATTAGTTAATATAGATCTTAAATTGTTTATTTGATAGGTACACAATATAATATTGTGTAAGCTTTATTTTAAAATAGTGCATTATATGAAAATAATAGTATTTAGTAAATTATCTTACATTATTGATTTTAGAGCTAATTAACATATAATATGGTGTAAATTTTATTTTCAAAGTCTGCATAGCTAATTTAGTTACCTGTGTTTATAAAGAGTTATATGATGGTATTTTCTTTTTTTCTAAATTATTATTATTTAAACAAATATATATCAGATTGTATAAATGGAAAAAAGAAGAAAAAAAGGAAAAAAATGGAGGGAGGCGTACGAACAACAGGTCCACATGCATGTACGTACGTGACCTATACCTATGCACGCGGGAGAAAAAGGAGAGGTGGGACCCATATTATTTGGTTTGTTTTAAGATCAATTTTATCTAACGGTGTATAATATTGGACCCACTAATTTAAGTGAAAATCAAGGGTAGATGTTTTGCTTTTTTCTTAGAATTTCTAGGATTTTCTCTAATTTATTAGAGCGCCACGTGGCAACTTGAGAGCGTTTGTAGGAAGTTTAATGGACTTTTAGTATATAAAGATAGATAGATAGATAAATAGATGATAGATAGATAGATAGATAGATAGATAGATAGATAGATTGTCATCCATGCATGCATGCAAGCAATATCATAGGCTCAAATTATCCTTGATGCATGTGCATGACACAAGAAACGGTGTTGCATGTTAATCGATATTAATTCAAATCGCTTGTGAGGGTGTATTGGTATCGATACACAAATCATATACTCCCTCCTTATCAAAATCTAAGACCTATTTATTTTTCAATCAATACCAAAAAGCAATTAACTTAATTACCAATACCATGTGGCAAAATCAATGAATATACAACCAATAAGTATTAGAATAACTTTTTATTTCCGATCAACAATTTAATTTAGCACACAATAACTATAAATAGGATTTAGAATTTTAAAAAAACCAAAGAATGAAATGGGTGTCAGATTTTATAAGGAGGGAGTACTGTATATGCTGATAATGCATGTGTATGGAGGGGAGTATGGTGGTTCCTAGCTGCTGCCTTGATCCCCGACTTCCACCTCGCGTCCAACCACCTCGATCGGTCGGCGCCTCCGCATCAGCGGTTGGTCGGCCAGGTGGAGGAGCTGCGGCCTGCGTAACCTCTCTCTCACCTCCTCCTCAGCCAAGATTAATCTCTTTTTATCTCCCCCTTCTCTGCACGGTTAGAGCAAGCTTAATATTATAACCAACTGCTAGCTCTAAATTATCTTTGGTCAATCTAATAGCTCATTCATATAATAGTTATTTTTAAGCATTAATATATAGTCCCACATCTCATACACACAACGTATTAGAATCCGTGTTACAGTTGGCTATAAATCTAGCCTGATTTCCTTCGCTCCAGCCAGCGTTTCTGCTACAGTACGTCTCTAGCTATGTCGTCGTCTACAACCTGGCCGGTACTTGTGACGGCACCTGCACCTATTTTCATTGATGCAGTGGATCATACGGTAGTATTGATTACTATACCCAAATACAGTACTATTTTAAGGGGTAATAAAAGTATAAAACACATGATTGTAGGTTTTAGTGACCGTCAAATTACAGGTGGAAAGATTTTTACCAGTGAAAAGAAATAGGTAATCTCCAAAGCAGGCCCTATAATACAAACTGTGCGCATCACATGCTCATGTTTCTTCGCGTGGTAACTAGAGCCTGCCGACAAAGCTTGATAGAATTAATTAATAATTTTAATCAGGATGTGCAGAGTCACATTATTAATTACTGGGTCGTCACGAGCCTCTTGTAGGAGTAGTAACATAGGTTTTCATGGCAGCGTCCAATGCGTGTGCAATATTCTTTACCAAAGCTAATTAGCTTAATTTAACAATTCTTTATTTTGCGCGGATCTAGAGGTCAGAAAACAATTAACCCACTGCTGGCGGCAAGACACTCTTCTTCCTTGAAAAACAGGCGCCATTGGCTGTGCCATATACACAATCTGAAACCTGTACCACTCCCACAGCACCACCTCACTCCAGGGAGATCATCAGCAGATGAGCAAAAATGGTTGCAACAACAGCTATTGTGGGTGCTACCACGGGGGTGATGAAGCCCCTCCTGTCCAAGCTCACCAAGCTGCTGGGCGAAGAGTATGCCAAGCTCAAAGGCGTGCGCAAGCAGATCAAGTTCTTGATAGATGAGTTGAGCACCATGAGTGCTGCACTCGAGATGCTCGCGGATTCGGACCAGCAGCTCAACCCAGAAATGAGGGATTGGAGGGACAAGCTACGCGAGCTGGCCTATGACCTGGAAGATTGCATCGATGATTTTATGTCTCGTGTTGACCATGATGGGGAAAAGATGGGCTTCAGGAAATTCTTCCGTAAGTTGAAGAAACTGAAGGCGCGCCATGAGATTGCCAATGAGATCGAAGAGCTCAAGATCCGTGCGATCGAGGCAAGCGAAAGGCACAAGAGGTATAATTTTGACCAATTAGCACACAACTCTAGCACTTTTGGCATTGATCCTAGGCTGTCGGCGTTCTATGAGGAGGTTGATAAACTTGTGGGCATTGATGGTCCTAAGAAGCGTATCATTGAGCTGCTAGCTATGGAGATGAAAGGGTCTCTAAAAGTGGTCTCTATTGTTGGTTGTGGAGGTCTTGGTAAGACTACTCTTACAAACCAAGTTTATGACACAATTCGAAGCCAATTTTCTTGTGCAGCTTTTGTGTCAGTTTCACAAAGGCCTGATATAAAGAAGATTCTAAACGATATTGCTGAAGGAGTAGGGATCTCTTCTCGTACTCCGGTTGGTAATGATGAAAAGAAACTCATTAATATACTCCGAGAGCATCTCAAGAATAAAAGGTAAGCCTAGTTATATTATCAATGATAATATATATGAATGCATGCGACTTAATACCCAATAAAAAGATTTGGTAACTGTGGAATGAAATTACAAATACTATTTCTTGATGCAAATGAGATGTGTATATCTTAATTAGGTAAACATTAACAATTTTCTTATCTATAGGATATTCGCAAACAAATTAATGGTGTTTTTTAGGTTTCGAAATGGTTTAAGATCTAGCTTTGACTACTATATCTGTTACTATCGTTCTTAAATCATAGTGAAATTACATTAGGTCATGTTTGTTTCATCTTATAGATTGTATAAAATAGCTTGCAGTTATCTGAAATTTACTCTTGCATGAAACATTAGCACGTACTCCACGTCAGCCCTCAGCCCACTACTTTGGTCCAGCCATACACTGTGGTGATCTGATTTGGCTGGAATACCGCTCAGCCAATGCACGAATCAAAACCAATTCTAGGTTAGGGAAAACGACCCTCTCGTGTTGCCCTTAGCTCTTTTGAAGCTTGATGAGTGTTGACTCAAGTGCAATGACAAAGTATGAGGGGTGTTTCAATCGGACCATATCTCTACAGTACAGCTAGGGCACAGTGGTGGGCTTAGCAGCTGCCAACACAGAATGCCGCTACAATGCATGTGCTAACTTGTTCCTCGCCGTCTACCACCTCTATGACATGTGGGCCCAATGTGTAAGTAACATTGGGGTCTGCGTGAACTTGCGGTTTTGTGACAATTTTCTCCATTATCATTGCAACAAACTGAAATATGTCACTAATGTTGTAACAATCTGATAATTCAGTGACTAAATATGCGATTCTCTGAAATTTACTCTTGTTACAATGAAGGTGGGAAGCTTCTTTAATTTGTTTGTTTGCTCGGTTACTATTTAGTGATTGTGGCGATCCAAGAAGTATTAAATAAATATATTAATCCTGGTTACCATCTAGGTCTCTGAACTATTATATTTGAGTCTACAAATTTATTAATCTTGCAGACATTGTCCAAATATTGGTGATCATCTTTTGCTTGAGCCATCTCTCTATATAATCCATCACACTCAAACTCTTCCATTTCAATTCTCCAGTTCTTGTCATAATGATCTGATTTGTTAGCATTTTCTTCGCTAACCACAGTTAATATTGCCAACATTTTCAATTATTATCAACTTCATGGCCTTCAAGAACAAATTACTAAATCTATGTAAAAATCTTGTGACAGATACTTTGTTGTGATTGATGATTTATGGGATGCGAAAGCATGGAAAATTATCGAGCTTGCATTATTAAACAATAATTGTGGCAGCAGAATAATCACTACAACACGAAGCGTTACAGTTGCATCATGTTGTTCTTCTCAAGTTGGTTATATTTATGAGATGAAGCCTCTTAGTTTCAATGAATCCAAATGGTTATTTTTGAAAAGAACATTTGATTATGAAAATTCACATTATCCTCATCCAGAAAATATTTTGGATAAGATATTACGAAAATATGGTGGCCTACCATTGGCAATCATTACTATATCTAGCTTGTTATTAGATCAGCATGAAATTGATGAATGGCATAGGGTACTTAATACTATTGGTTGTGGACTTGCAAATGATCCTAATGCAGAGACAATGTCAAATATATTATCACTGAGTTTCTTCAATCTCCCTCACTATCTAAAAACTTGCTTCATGTACCTGAGTGTATTTCCAGAAGATCGTAAGATTAAGAAACGGCATTTGGTTAGCAAATGGATTGCTGAAGGATTCATTCATAGACACATAAAGGTGCAACTTTTGGAGGGGCTTTTAACTATTTGCCACTCTTACAAATGGTGCTTAACGATTTGCCACAAGGCCCACATGTCATAGACACATGAGGGCCCACATATCATAGACACGGTGTGGCAAATCGTTAATTGCCATGTCACAAGAGTGGCAAATAGTTAAATTTCCCACTTTTGGAAGCCGGGTTTTACGCGTAAAACCAACTACTAAGATGCAACTTTTCTCTGAGACCCATTCCAACTTGAGAAAACAACAGCAGCAACAACAACAACTCCTCCTGAGACCGCACAACAAAAACGACGGAAGTCAGCCCCGACCCCATAGGCCATAGGCGCTCGATCGTATGCTGCCTCGATCCGGCCTCGATCGATCGGCGCCTCAGCAGCAGCAGCAGCAGTAGCAGCAGTTGGTCGGCCTCGGCCAGGTGGAGGAGGAGCTGCAGGACTGGCCTCTTTACTCAGGCAAGAATCCTCTCTTTTTTTATCTCCTCCTTCCCTCTCTCCGCACGATTAATCGTCGTGAGAATTGAGATTAGCCAGCGTTCTGCTACTTCTCGAGTTAACGTCGTCGTCCACAGCCTGATCTAGCAGCTCAGCACGGCAGCACCTGCTTCTTGCGCGGGTAATCCCCCCTAAGGTGAAAAATGGTCAATAGGTGCTGGTTTTAAATAAATTGGCACATATGAGCCGGTACAGTAGTGATGGGACTGTTAATATATATGCATGCGTGGGAATGCCCTATAGAAAAGTCCGGTAACCTTGGAATGAAATTACAAAAACTTCTTTATACAAATGAGATGTATATATCTTAGGCTATGTGGGAGGTGAGGTTGGGAACTCACCTCCCGCGCACGCAAAACGGAGCGACACATTTTTTTTTGAAAAATAGATTAATATGATTTTTTTAAAGCAACTTTTGTATAGAAACCTTTTGCAAAAAAATGCACCGTTTAGCAGTTTAAAAAGCGTGTGCGCGGACGAGGGAGGTGAGTTGGGAAAGGTAGGGGAAGAACACAGCCATAATTGTGTAAACATTAACAATTTTCCTATATATAGGATATTCCCTCCAGTTGAAAATAAACGATGTTTTGCAATTTGAAATGATGTAAAATCTAGCTTTAACTATTATATATGTTACTATATATTATTTGCAAACCATAATGAAATTATATTAAGTCTTGTTTGTTTCAGCTTATCTCTACTATTATAAAAACTGAAGATGTTTCTGCCATAATTTTGGTGCATCATCCGTGTTTGAATCGGTTTTAATTTTATGTTTCAGTTAAATCCTTTCCTTTTTTTCTTATGCCAGAGTGTCCCTCTTATCAGAGACGTGCGCGAATTAATTGGGCTTGCACCTTTTCACGCGTCTCTTGCCACAAGCAGCGATCGGGCCCACGCTTGAGTCTGTATTCCACACGCGCCTTTGCGCGCCGCCTCGATTGGGCCCGCAATGCCCTCGCACGTGCAATTTTTCGCATGCCCAATTGGGCCCGTGAAGCCATCATGCGCACAATTTTCCCTTGCCGCGTGTCCGATTGAGATTGCGTCGTCCTCGCCCGTGATTTAAAAATTGAAGATGTTTTTTTTCAAAACTATGGTACATTATCCGTATCCGATTCCTGTCACGCGTAACAATTGTTGACTCTCGAGCGAATTGCGAAAGACAGTATATGTGATATGAATACCAAGCGAATGAAACTCGCAGAGTCTATGTGGATATCACGTACATCGTTGCTCAGATCATCCGATTCTATTCGTATTACACGATACGATTCTTGGGACATGTTAGCACGATTTCAAGTCAGTCTCCACACATGCTCGTACGTACTACCAGGGATAACGTTACAATAATTCATAAGAATCAGTTTTACTTTCAAAAAGAACATGCCAAATGAAATAAAGAATGATCGAAATTGCTGAATCCGTCCGTCATCAATTCTTGCCTGACTTAAGATAAAGCTAGACAACAAATCGAGCTCATGTTTGAAGGCCTCATTATTTGGCTTATGCTTTCCTGTAAGCGAAACTTTAAATTTTAGAACTTAATTTTAAACTCGACTTTTTGGTTTTTTATCGTACTTTATTTTACATCATTTACTTCTGAATCGCTAAGAATATGTATATAAAAGATTTGCATACAAATAGTCTTTTGTTTGGTAATAAGTGATTTGGATAAGCACATGAATAAACAAAACGATGGTATGTGATTATTTATGCACTGACATATATGTACAAATTAAATTGGCTCTACCCGTTGCAAAGCACGGGCACCTTTTCTTTTCTAGTAGATTGTAAAAAGTAAGCTTGCAGATTGCAACAATCCACAAGCTGGAAGGAAGTACATTGTTTCATTGTAGCAATAATATGGCATGTGTGTATCGTTACAACCAATGAAGGTGGGAAGCTGCTTTGTCTGTTTCCTTAGTTACTATTTGGTGATTGTTACCATCCAAGAAGTATTAAATAAATATATTAATCCTGGCTACTATCTAGGTCTCCAAACTATTATATTTGAGTATATAAAATTATTAATCTTACACTCGTTGTGTCCAAATATTAGTAATTATCTTATGCTTGAGCCATCTCTCTGTCCAATCCATCGCACTCAAATCATCATTTTTAATTTTCCTGTTCTTATCATAATGATTTGATTTGTTAGTATTTTCGTCTTAGCTAACTGTAATTAATTCTGCCAACATTTTCAATTATTATCAACTGCGTGGATTTCAAGAACGAATTACTAAATATATGTAAATATATTGTGACAGATACCTTGTTGTGATTGATGATTTATGGGATGCAAAAGCATGGAAAACTATCGAGCTTGCATTATTAAACAGTAACTGTGGCAGCAGAGTAATCACGACAACACGAAGCGTTGCAGTCGCATCATGCTGCTCTTCTCAAGATGGTTATATTTATGAGATGAAGCCTCTTAGTTTCGATGACTCCAAATGGTTATTTTTGAAAAGAGCATTTGGTTATGAAAAATCACATTATCCTCATCTGGAAGATGTTCTGGATAAGATACTAGGAAAATGTGGTGGCCTACCATTGGCAATCATTACTATATCTAGCTTGTTATCATATCAGCATGCTATTGATGAATGGCATAGGGTACTTAATGATATTGGTTATGGACTTGCAAGGGATCCTTATGCAGAGACAATGTCAAATATATTATCGCTGAGTTTCTTCAATCTCCCTCACCATCTAAAAACTTGCTTCATGTACCTAAGTGTATTTCCAGAAGATTATAATATTGACAAACGACGTTTGGTTAGTAAATGGATTGCTGAAGGATTCATTCAGGATGAACAAGGGCGAAGTGCATATAGAACTGGTGAGTTGTATTTTAATGAGCTCATCAATAGAAGCCTGATTGAACCTGTTGATGTAAAGTATGGTCAGGCAAAGGCATGTCGAGTTCATGACATCATTCTTGACTACATCAAATGCAAGGCTACTGAAGAGAACTTTGTCACCTCATTAGGATCTACAGTGCCTGGATGCACTACAGAGTATAAGGTTCGGAGGCTGTCAGTCATCAACAGCAATGAAGAAGATGTCAACATACCGACAAGCCTAGATCTGTCTCAAGTACGATCACTTACTATATTTGGAAATCGCATGCAAACTTCTGTATTTGATTTCAAGTTTCTTCGTGTGTTGGACCTAGTATATAGGGACAGAATGGGTGACCTTTTTGCAAATATTGAAAAATTGTTTCATCTGAAGTACATGTGTATCTCCTCATATGGAGTGGATTATCTCCCAGAAAAAATTGGAGAACTGAAATATTTAGAAACGCTGGACATAAGACAAACCAATGTGGAGATATTGCCATCAACTATCACAAACCTTCAACGACTAGCTCGTCTATTTATCAATCAGGACACGAGATTTTCAGATGAAACGACTATTGGACAATTGAAGAGCCTGGAAGAGCTAAAAGAATTTGTAGTGTCTCAGTCTGAACAAGTGACGGCCCTCCAGGAAGTCAGTAAGCTAACCAAGCTAAGGACATTAAAATTAACACTGCAGTCACCATTGTCACTTGATGATTACCATAGTTGTGTGGGAACATTATTGCAATCTTTATGCAACCTTTATGATTTGTGCATCATGGACCAATCTTATGAAAATTATTGTCTTACGTTGGATTCATGGCACATTGCTTCTCCTTGTAGCCTTCGTAAGCTTGTAATCAAACTAGTACTCACCAAGGTGCCAAATTGGATGGGTGTGCTTGGAAATATTGGAGTACTAGTTCTAGGTATCCTGTGTATAGCACCAGATGATATTGAGATACTTGGAGCAATACCCAGCTTGCTTTTTCTCGAGCTACAAACTTACGGAGGCACCAATGGAAGGATCATCATCCATGGAAACAACAGATTCATAAGTTTGAAATATTTCTCCTTGGTTATTCATGCTTGTGGGACTGCATTGGAGTTTGAAGCAGGATCAATGCCAAAGGTTGAGCACCTCAAGCTTCAGTTTCATCTGCATGAATTGGAATGCCTGAATGGTTCTTCTGACTCAGGCATCCAACACCTCTCTGCTCTCGGCAAGGTTGAGGTCAAAATTATATGCAAACCCTCTTATGTCATTGAATTGAATGGTTTGAACTATGATCTGATGGAACAAAAGAGTGATTGCATCGTCAGATGTGTAGCAAGAACCATTAAAACTGCTGTTGAGACACTCCCCAACCATCCCACTATCAGTTTCAAAACATATCATGTCGAGGAATGTGAACATTTTGAAACAGTAAGTTCTCCCTCAGAATTGCAGGCATTAATATTGTTCACTGTATCGCATATGCTTGACCATCCAAATAAACAATTTCGATGTTATTCTGATGCACACTTTTATGTGCCTTGCTTTTTTTGACTTCTGTTCTAGCGTATCAACAAGAAAGTAAAGGCATGTTCTGACTGAGTGACCCCAAAATCAGAAAATTGAAGAGAAGCAGACAGCGCAAGCACAGCGGGACCGTCATCTAGGAATCTTATGTATGGCACCAGAAGATATTGAGATCCTTGGAGCAATACCCAGCTTGGTTTTTCTCAAACTAGAAACTCTCGGAGGCACCAATGGAAGGATCATCATCCATGGAAACAACAGATTCATAAGTTTGAAATATTTCTCCTTGGCTATCGGTGCCTGTGGGACTGCACTGGAGTTTGAAGAAGGATCAATGCCAAAGGTTGAGCACCTCAAGCTTGATTTTCGTCTGCACGAATTGGAATGCCTGAATGGTGCTTCTGACTTAGGCATCCAACACCTCTCTGCTCTATGCAAGGTTGAGGTCGAAATTAATTGCAATTGCTTCAAGCACACGTCCAATTTCTTCGATGACTTTGAATTGAAATGTTTGAACTATGATCTGATGGAAGAAACGAGTGATTGCATCGTCAGATGTGTTGCAATAACCATTAAATCTGCCGTTGATACACTCCCCAACCATCCAACTATCAGTTTCCAAATAAACATTTCGAATTGGTAAGTTCTCCATCAGAATGGCCGGCATTAATATTGTTCACTTTATCGCTTATGCTTGATCATCGAAATGAACAATTTCTAACTTATTCTGATGCGCACTTTTATACACATTTCCTTTTCCACTTCTCTGTTCTATTTTATCTAGAAAATGAAGACATGGACAGTGACGGAGTGACCCAAAAATCAGTAAATTGAAGAGAAGCAGACAGCACAAGCACAGCAGGACAGTATACTCATCTTCATTTCCTCTACGGTATCGCCAACAAGATGAAACAAATTAATGAAGATGAGCACCGGCGCTGCCTGGGATTAGTTCTTACCCAGTGATCCAGGCGAAGCCGACAGCAAGGTCTAAATAACTACTGGATGTTTCTACAGCTGGGAGTCATAGCTCTGCTGATGTTGTTGCTGGATATATATGTTGCAGTAATGTAGTTTCGTTCTTCTTTCTTTGGACGAATCTGGTGTGCTTGCTGAAATAATTTAGTGCTGAGGCGCATGCTGTTGTTTCACTGATTCTGGACCCAACAGAGATTGTAGTAATTAAGATTATTCAAACAAATATTCTTCCGTTAAAAGTTCTATGAGCTTGTTTCTCACTGTGGTTTGTTTGTACAACTCAGTACACATTTGGTTACTGGTTAGTCTCATCTAGGTGATCAATGAATTTTACATGAAGGTTCATGTCATTATCTTGTTTCTAGCTATGAGGACGCTCATGCTAGGGCTATGTTTTGTCTCCAACCTAGGATGGAAGCCTTTGTGAGATGACAAGGTTAAGGAAAAAGAAACCTTTTGTCTAACAACGCGATGATTTGAAGCCTTCGGTTAAGTTTGATTTGAGCTTGTGTTGCTTGTGACTAACCGAAGGCGTTGAGTTGGTGTGTGGTTGTGTTGGAGAGACATGTCTCTTGGCTTTGGATGTAGTGTAGGTGATGGATGTGTCAAATTTACACTGGAAGGCCAAGCGATCCTGCGGATCGAACTCGGGAGATCATGAGCAGCACTGGCCTCCGATCATTCTGTTCCCTTCTCTTAATTACCTCACTCTTCTTCCTGTTACCTTTCCGGCTTTCCTTCCCTTCTTATGCTCAGAAAACATGTTGTTATCTTGTGTGTTATATTCACAAAAATTTGAAATGGGAAATACAGCTCATTGCCACATAATGAGCTGCTACTTTTTGTAAAAATTGTTTCTATAATAATTTTTAAGAGTAAGAACTCTCGTATAAGCGTACTTGTACTCTCTATTTTTCAGACAATAAGCTCCAACAACCACATCCGCATGCAAATATTGTGTTCACTATACCCATCAGTCTACAATGCGTGCATGTCATTCAAAAAACTCCAGTCGACCAGTAAAGCATCAAGTGCTTCTCACTTGTTTCCTAAATACCTCTCATTCCCACCCGAATACCTCGCGTTCTCATGGGACTCTTTTGAGTTTCTAAAGATGGTTCTAGACCAAATATAGATGCACATAAAGATTTAATTTGTGGGCACTGCTCTAATGCTCACACAACTCCTCGATTAATCTTTATTGTTTCTCTTTTATAGACCAGGATGAGTTTTGTCTGGCAGTGGGAAGTTTGTAATTGGGTGTTTGTTTTGAGTGTGAAGTTTTTGTTCATTAACCTTGTGAGGTCCCATGTTGAATGGACTGATTGCGAATCTTTGCATTTAGTAGCACACCAGGGAAGGGGGTGCTCAAATGGGTTTCTTCTCTCTTTTTTTTTTCTGCTTCTTCAGATGATGATGTGCTTGTGAAAATTTTGTTCTTTTGAGAAAAGTAGAGTTGGCATAATCGCCACAAATATCACAATGGTAGATATAGCTCACTGCCACCGAATGGGCTGGTTAGTTTTGTAGACATTTGTTTTGCTACCTTCTTTAAACTGAACTCTCGTGCAAGCATATTTTGTACTCTGCTTTGTGAATTACTACGTTACACTACAAAGATTTTTTGGGAAAACAATACATGTGCATAAATTATGTCACCAGGATAACTGGTTAAGGGCTGTATTACTAGACTCAAAGAAATGTAACTTCTCAAATCCCAACCATTCTCAAAACAATCAGCGCACAAGACCTGAAGAAAGAGAGGAAATGGGTGTCAACAGTGAGATGATTTAGTAAGTTCAAGGAGAAGCAAATGATATTCGAGTTCATGGTTAAAATAGAGCTCAAGAACCAAAACCAGAATTACTTCAATTTACTTTAGAACAAGCTTCAACAATAGAGAAAATAATGCGCATTACCAGTGAGAAACAAATTATCCCATTGTTACTGATATTATCAAAACTAAAGTGGATATTACTTAGTACATCCACCTTGACCACCACAGTAGAACATGATATCCTCAAATGGGCGCCTGATAGGCATTTCTTGGATTCAATGTTCAAAACCATCTGTGTTTGGATTTAATGTGAGATCAATCGTATAAGAAAATGTGACCAATCCATAAGACCCAACCGAGGTCAAAATTGCATGTTGCGCACAATATAATTGTATCCACAGACTAGCTAACATACATAAACTACAGAACAAAACTGCAGAACTACAGTGCTAAAAGACTGGGGAACTGGTCAGATAACAATACCATTGGATAAAGTCTAGTGTCAAAGATGTATGGTACATAGCACGTAACATGGAAATTCAACCAGATTTGCCAAAAATAACAGCAGAACATTGGATCATGCGTGTCCCTATAAAACTGGACTCAAAAGGGAGAAATTTCAGTTTATAAGGAACAATGTAATTTTATCACTTCTACTGCCCAGAGGCAGGGCCTACAAGAACACCCTGCGCAGATCCTTCCTTCATGCTGCCTTCTTCCTGGGTGTCACTATCTGCTTTCCGGATTCTGATCTTGTACTTGAGCTCAAACTCCGTGATTTCCTTCTTCTTCTTCTCCAGTGCCTCGTTCATGCGAGCAACAACTTCCTCGAGGCCCTCCTTGTTGCGTTGCACTGCAGGCAAGACCTCCTTGATAGTCCGTTCAACCAGCACTCCCCCAATCATTCTGTAGCAGCGCCTCGAGGGGTCAAGTGGCTCGATTGCACCGATCACGAGGGAGTGCTCACTGACTTCCATTTCCAGCTCTGTGATCTTGGAGTAGAGTTGATTCATTTCAGAGCGCATGTTGGCATACATGTTTGCAACCATTTGCTCGTTGATGACTTCTTTGTCAGCACCACTTGGTTGACCAGCCATTTTGCTTGGAATCCACTAAAACATAAATAGATTACAAAAGAGGCCTGCAGAGAAAGAGCAGTTAGCTTACTAACAAAGGTAGGTATCATGAAGTTCTGTGTAAACAAATTCATGGGCATATTTTAAAAGATGGCTACTGATGGATATAGTAATTACTCCCTCTAGTAATAAAGAGCTCTTTTACCTTAAATATAAGAAGCTACTTTGATGGCTAGACCACAATATGCAGTTATCATATATGAAGAAAGGTTACAAAAGCGTAATTCTATGAAGTACTTTTAAGAACAAAATTAGTGCATATGTCACTTTTTTACTGGAGGAAGTACCAAGCATAAAAGTAAGGCAATATATAGGGAACTTTGGTAGTGGAATTCCATTTGGAGTTACAGATGAATATAGATGACTCCATGTACCATGCAAAGGCACGAAGCAAAGGAACTGAGACATTTCATAATAACATAATAACCCTCAGTATTCAAGGCTTTTCTGCATTTCCATCTGCCAGGGTACAACTCATTAACTAAACCCTATAGTCCCATTATTTCTGTACCATCCATCCCATCACTGACATAAAACTGTTGACCCAAATCCCTTATCTAGAAAGGGAATTATTTCGGTAGATCACAACTCCCCTGATCCCCTCTTAACCATCTTGTGATCCCCACAAGGCCCATTTAAAAGTTAGTCTGCCTTTTAGGACAGCTTGCCCCTATTCTGGTAGCACACTGTCCTTGTACCATTACTCTGGCAGATCGGATAGATCAAAGCCTACACAAGGAAGGTGCCCACATAGCGCATAATTGAAGTTATATTGCCAATGACTCCATCAGCTAAAAAAAGCTCCATCTATTACAGTTTGCTAACTGTTTCAGGAATATTTATATTTCCGAAAATGTGGTGTTAGGGATGCAATATGGCTGGTCAAATAATGCACATCTAACACATCTACCACGCAAGGTGGGTTGGAATAACTATAAATTTCAAACTAGCAAAGACGTGTAAAATGATCATGTGGAAATACATTTGCTCATTCTAAATGGGATACTGGGATTCTTGGACACGCTGTCCAACAAAGGGAACAGCCCACTCAAGTTTGTTAAGCAATGAGCATGCCATCTTAAGGACAATTACTCAGATGTGCAAGTGCAATAACCAATCAATATCAGTATAGCATGCTGCATCCTAATTTGAGATTTTGCTGCCTGAACTTAGCCCAAGGTAAATTTGACTTCACAACGGAGATAAACTGTAAGCAACTAATTGCTATAAATACAAGATAGATAATGCGAGCTTGGACCAGGCACCAGCTAGAAGGAACACACCAGCTTAGAAGGGAATCACGGTGGTGACCACACTAAGGTACCAAACGCATCCACCTAAAGACCTCATTTGGAATGCATGAATATTACAAGGAAAAATGCGATATATATCTGTATACTACTTAAAATTTTAGTAGTGGTGGTGGTCGTTCTGCCACACCACCCTTACCACTAATATTTGGGTCTCACAATCTATACTTTGCACCACCACAACCGACCTAACAAATGGGTCCCATTTATTAGCCCCTACTCTCCAATGATTTTTTTCCGTTTCAGTGCTGGCTCTCCCAAAATTTCAAAATCACCTACTTGTTCACTAAGGAAAATAATAAAACTACTACTTATTAGACTAAATATGTGCTCAATCGATTTAATAAGTTAGAAACTCAATTCTTTTTCCGTTGCAACGCACAGGCTCTTGGCTAGTATACATGTAACGCATGCTACCATCGACAATCAGACGAAGAGGATCAAAAGAATATACAGATCGCCATGGGCTGATCCAACTTGGGACTTTTGTGGGGGGAACAAACAAAGTGTTAACTGTATTAAGGTTAAGGCTCTGAAATTAAGAGCTTCTTCCAGATCTACAGAAGAGAAGCTAGGGTTAACACAAGCAAGCAAGCAAATTCGAGGGTGTGTGAGATGAATCAGAAAAAGATGATGTGGATGCTCACCAGGACGCAGGAAGAGGACGCGACCTGCTCCGCGAGATGGGAGATCGGCGCAGGCCGCAGGGAGCGGAGACGAGACGGGGAAGATTTTCGACGCACAATGATCTTGGACGCTAAGATTATTTCCCCTCTCTCTCTCTCTATCTATCTCTCTGAAAGAAAGAAAGAAACTCACCCTTGCTGTCTCAGCGGATACGCCTCTTCCGGCTGCCGCCGCGGCGGGCGAACTCCGGTGGACGGTGGTCGGCAGCTGCGCGGCGGCGCGGGCGGTGGTCGGCAGCGGTCACTGCCCCTCCGCCATGAATCGGGGGGTCTTTGTCGAACCATTTTCGTTTTTAGATTTTTTTTTTTAATATTTACAGAAATAATCTATCGACCAAAAAAATTGCAGAAATAGCCCCTGCCGCCCAAATGGTGGGCAGCAAGCTGACGTGGCAGACGGTGGGTCGACCGCGCCGTCTGCCGCCGTCGGCCAAAATTGCGAGAGGGCGGCAAGGGGCTAATTGCAATTTTGGCCGCCCATTCAGAGCTTGCGGCCGTACTTTTCATCTGGGTCCCGAGGGCGGCAAAGGACCCAGATGAAAAAAGTACGGCCAAAAGACTTTTCTATGTTATGTTAATAATAAATAAAGAAGTATTTATTGGTAAAACTTGTTAATATTGTTATAAAAATGTATTGAAGTTGGTTGTTGCGCAATTTCATATGTTAAGTGAGGTATTATTTTGTACCTTATTCGACGTATTAGTACTCGGATAATTTATATAGGCCTATCGCAGTCTAGGTCGTAGAAACATTATATGGACTTAAACAAGGAGAATTATGTAACATGAAGAAATAGTAGTACAATTTGAACATGATACAACTATTTACATTGCGGTTACATAGATGATATTAGATTCGAACTAGGAGGGAGGTAGTGCAATAGTTGAACACAACGACGATGTAATAATGGGACAAGGAAGCATGACAGTAGAAATTTCAATATGCTAAGTTGTCCGATAATAGCTAACCCCTACGTGAGGATCCCTCTCCTCTCTCAAACCGCGCTTTAGTAACCCTGTATTGCTCTGGTAGTTCAAGCTGCACAACACGGCTAGGTGGAGTTAGAACCCTTCTGGTGTCTATCCATTCTCTGTATTGACATCTCCTTGGTGGTTCCTGGGAGGAAAGAATAGATGTAAAGCAAGCAAAGTTAGTAAATGTTGTGAGAAAATAAGGAATCATGTAATCAAAATATTCTTACCATGAAATCGTCGTCAAGAATATTTGGACAAACAAAGAACCTTCGACCCAATGTTGTAAGATTTATGGAACGAAGAACCTGACAACGATCACCACACCTGCATCTTGGACGGGCTTCCCATGGAGGGAGTGCCGTAATTAGCACCCGCCAGTCGCTCTGTTGTTCACGACATTGTCGTTCATAAGCCGCTTTTCTCTGTAAGTATTGCTCAGTACTTTCGGATGCGAAATACCAGCGACCTTCTTGTAAACAAGTGGTTAGGTCGAGAACGGGATTTTCTGTATCGACCCACTCGATGTATGCGCAAGCCGTAGTGCGGGTCTGCCGAATAGAGTAGTGTTACGAAGAATAAAGCGATTGCCCATACGGAATGAATAAGCATATGCAGATAATAAAATACCTCACGATCATAGTTAGGGCACCTAAAAAAGCGCCTTCCTCGAATATCAGGATTCCTCGAAGTCATTAGTTGGCATCGATCACCGCATAGGCAGAGAGGACGCTGGCACCAAGGTGGTAGTAGGTATACACAAGGATCGCTACGCCAGTTTGGATCCTCAACACCCCGGCGTCTAGCCATTGACGAAAGCCGGTCGGATTTGTAATGAAGCAAGTGGGGAAGAGAGTACTGAATGTGACTGAGTTCTGAAAGATTGTGAGGGCTCACTCATTAAGGCGACTTATATAGGCGCAAAAAATCGAGTGATACCCCTGACATGTGAACGTGGTGGGGTATGGTGGGTATGCCTGATTGGCGCCGAAAGATACATGCATGATCAGTGCCGAAAGTTACATTGGTCGTATGCGCCAAATGGCGGGCAAATACTCGTATCACACGCAAATAAAGGAGGCTGCATCGGTGCGGCAGAAAGTAGTCATGCATGCGCCGAAAGGTATTGTGCATGCGCCAAAAGGTATCGTGCACATATAACAACAACGTAGTCATTACACAAGCATACAGTACTGGAAAGTGAAGCAAGTAAACAAAAAGAAGACTGCTCTACTGGCCCTGCCCCGCGCCGCGACCACGCTTGGTCCTCCGGGCCTGTGCTCGCACGTGGTCCTGGGAGAAGGTGAAACGATCCGGTGGCACAGCACGGGTAGCACGAGTGTCCCGCGGAGGAGTGGCCTGCGCCTGGTCCTGCGTCTGCACCGGCGGTGCGCCTCCCAGCTGTGAGGGGCCGATGACGTCCTCTGTCGAGCCTGAAGCGAAGTCGAAGTCAGTGATGTCGAAGAGCACGGTGGAAGACAGGAAGGGGTCCGACGAGGTCCCAGCATGGTCCAGTGGTGGACCCTGACTCGACGTGCCGGCTGCCTGTGACGCTGACCCTGCAGCCTGGGAGAAGTGGGTGGCCTGCGTCATAGCGAAGTGGGCGAAACCTACACATCGACAACGGGACCCTTGTAAGCTAAGACATAAAATGTATGTAAATTGATTATGGAAGTAATGTTGTTTTTTTAAGTACCTGTGGGGGGCACAACAGAAGGCCTAGCCGAGGAAGGCGGGGTGCTGAACGGTGCACGAAACCCTGAAGCAATAAGCAAGTAAAACGGCTCACTTATATGTGCGAGGCATGTATAGAAGTAGTAATAAAAATAGTTACCGCCGTGCGGAGGGGGAGTCGGCCTAGGAACGTGCGCAGCTGGACGGGGACCAGTCGGTACGGGTGGCCGCTGTACAGCTGCGTCTGCCCGAGCAACGTCGTCTGCACGACAGGTGAGCACTCGGAGAATCGAGCGCATCGACTCCACCATCCGCGTGTACGTCGTCAGGTGCTCCTCTACGGGTACCGGAATCCCCGCGTCTAAACGTTGGATCGTCGTTGAACCGTCAACGACGACCCGGTTGATGTCGTCGACCTGCATGGTTAATTTGTTCGTAAATATTCGTAAAATTTGACGAAGAGAAAGACATGAAAACATAAAGGAATGGTGCGATGCAGGGTACTCACAACACGAGCGAAGTCCTGGTCGCGGTGCCTGGCGTAGAGGTCTCTAGTGCTCGCAACGTGGGGCTGCTGCTCCAAGGGAGCGAAGGTGACCCTAGTACGGGTGCGTGGCTGGTACCAGCGTAGGTAGGCCTGGTACGACTCCTCAGTGTGTGGCTCTCCCTCGTGGTCCACGACCTCCTCGGTTGCGAGCAACCAGTCCTCAACAAAAGTCGCCAACTTGGCGGGCCAGTCGCCAGCTGAGTGCTGACCCTTGCGCGAGTACCTGCGAATTAATGTGTAATATTAGTGTGAAACGACAGATGTTACAAATTATTGTGAACAGGCAGATTTTAATGCAACAACGGAAAGCGTAGAGCAAGATCTTACCGGTGAACAGCAGCTGGGACGGTGGTCGGAAACGGTACTGGAAAGGGCTGACGGAAGCCGAACAACCGCATCACGCGGAAAGGGGCGTGAGGCTCAACGCAGATGTCGAAGACCATCGGAACCGTAGTCATCCAGTACGCCTGGTCCCTGGTGCAGAGTGTGGACAGACCCAACGGCGCACGAGCCTGGGTAGCCGCGGCACTGTAGGGCTCCCACACGACGTCAGTCGTCAGAAGGCGGTCGAACTCCATAACAAACTCAGGATACGACCGCCTAACCTGGACGTGAGCCCATCGGCGCTGCAATACGAGACGATCGATGTGATGTACAATGAACTTAGCAATTAACTTAACAATACGATAAGATCGATGCAACGTACCTGACGACGGCACCACAGAGTACCCATCGTAGGGTAGTCGACCTCTGGTCGCTCCTCGTACAGTGACTCCTCGTACGCGTGCTGGTCCACCTCAGGGCGGCCGATCGCAATCCTCTCAGTTGCCCAGATAGAAAGAAAGAGAGGGCACCCACCAAAGGTCGCGCTGGGATCCGTCTTCGTGCAAGACTCACAAAGTGCACGGTACAGAGCCGCCAACAACGCGGAACCCCAGCTCCACTGAGGCACCTCGCCTACCGCGGCGTCGGCGATGCTCCTGGCGTAGTGCACGAGTCCCTTGTCGACCGCGTGCCCGTGACCGCCACAGAACATCACCCAGCCAAAAAGCCAGAGCAAGTACGCCTCCAAACATCGGCTGTACGAGTACTCGTCGGCCTCCGCCTGTAGCTGCTCAACCTGCAAGCAGTCGATAAAATGTTAGGCACCTTAACTGCGGACTAAATATGTAATACGATTGTCATTTCGGTACAAAAACACTCATGGTGAACTGAAGCAGCCACCTCTTCGTAGGTCCGGTGTTGCGGTGGTGTGCCAACGGCTCGAGCGGGAGGTGCGGTGCGCGCTGTACTAGTGCGAAACGTGCCGTCAGATCGTCCTGCCAGTCCACAGCCGTGGTCACTGGCCCAACTGCGTCTCCCGCGAGCGGTAGCCCCAACAAGTACGATACGTCCTGTAGGGTAGGGGCTACCTCACCGCACGGCAAGTGAAAAGTGTGCGTCTCTGGCCTCCATCGATCGACCAAAGCTGCTACGAGGGACCTGTCCACAGTCCATCATCTGGCCGGGTCCGCGTCGCCGGCCGCAGCCTCCACCAGCCGACACATCGGTAGGAGGCCGGCCTCACGTAGCCTGCAATAACAAATTAATATGTCATTATAAAAAATATTACAGTGCAACTAACTTATAGTAAAACACTGTTCGTACCTCTCGACAAAGGAGTCGTGAACTGTGAGTAGCTCACCGCACGTCCGTGCCCGGAACGTCCCAAGCTGAGCCCCCTGCACTGCAGTAAGGTGAGACCGGTGTCGGTAATCTATCGCTGGGTCCAACAACTGAGGTGTATCCTGACGTGCCATCTCTGAAAAATATAGTGTTTCGAGTTAGAACAATTCAAAAAATAGTACTGTAAAACAAAAGATAACTTGCAAAATTATGAAATAGTAATAAAATCATGAGATTAATTATGTACAACAAGAGTACAGGCTATTTAAATATAGCAAATGTTACTAATGGTACATAACGATGACGTGCAATTTAACATATATGTAGAGTTCAATAATATAACATAACATTACGTGTCGAAGTCCGACATACATCAGCATACATAAAGACGTTAGGCGCCTTAGTCCGACGTTACATGCCGAAGTCTGA